CCTCCTCCTCCTCCTCCTCCTCCTCCCTGTTGTTCCTTTCTATTACCTTTTGGGTTCCATTGTTACCTTTGGTGTGTGTTGTTAGCTGTCCTTGTTGCCCATCGGGGCCGAGTGCATTGTGCCTTTGAGTGCAGTGCTGTGATTTGTCCTCTTGTTTTCTTGTCTGTGAAAGAGTCTGTTTATGTAACACTTGCCGTGCGAAGGACTTTTAAGCATGTTCTTCATTTTTTTTTCCACTAGGAGATTTTGGTGTGTGTGTGTGTGTGTATTTATATATCTCTGAATGTTTTGAGTTGTCAAACGCCAAACCGCCAAGAAATAACCGAGAGATTCCCCCTTCTGGAAGCTTCTCTAAATCCTTGGAAATGCCGTCACGCCTTTCTAGATTTCATACAGATTTTATTTATTTTGGGGTTTTTGGGGGGCAATCCCCCGTTTAAAAAAAAAAAAGCTAGAAAATAGCAGTTTTGGAAAAAGACCTTTTAAAGCAGCTGAGTCCTCATGAATGGCAAGCGTTGGCTTTTAAAGCAGCTAGTCCTCATGAATAGCACAAGTGCCGTGCGGGAGAAAAAAATCTCTTGACAGTCAGAGAGGTACAGTCTGACCCCGCTTCTACTGTCAACTCCATGAAAAAACAAAGGCGAAAAGATTTCACTGCCCAAACATAATACAATGATCTCAGATAACACACACACACACACACACACACACACACACACACACATATACACCAGTGCAACTCCTTAAATACCTTGGGGTAAGTAACCATGGTTTAACTCCTCACTCTTTGGCTTACTAGCCATCATCCCCCATAGAAAACAGGGCTGTAGCTTCAGGGTCAACCATGGGGTGACATACACACACACACACAGACACATAGAGAGAGAAATAGATAGATAGACAGATAGACAGATAGATATGGATAGATAGATGCTGGACGCTGTCTGATATTTCCGTTTTGTCTGCAGGAAATGAAGATTTGCTCAGCAATTATAAACCTGTTTCATCTGATCCCAGCTGCTCCCCAGACCCTGGTTAAACCTTTGCTGGAAGTGGTGATGAAAACGGAACGAGCCATGTTGATTGAGGTAAAGGGACCCCGATTTCCTTAATGTTTTCCAAATTACAGTTGTTTCTTCTATTTTTTTTCTCCCTCCCTCCCTCCCTTCTCCCTTTTTCCTTCCTTCCTCCGTCCCTCCCTTCCTTCCTCCTTTCCTCCCTCCCTCCTTTCCCCCTTCTTCCTTTTTACTTCTTTCCCCCGTCCCTACCTTCCTTCCTTCCTCCCTTCCTTTCTTCCTCCAGCCCTCTCTTCTCCCTTTTTCCTCCCTCCCTCCCTCCCTTCCTCCCTTCTCTCTTTTTCCTTCCTTCCTCCGTCCCTTCCTTCCTTTCTTCCTCCACACCTCTCTTCTCCCTTTTTCTTTCCTCCCTCCCTCCCTTCCCCTCTATCTCCCTTCTCCCCTTTTCCTTCCTTCCTCCGTCCCTACCTTCCTTCCTTTCTTCCTCCAGCCCTCTCTTCTCCCTTTTCCTTCCTTCCTCCTTTCCTCCCTCCCTTCTCTCTTTTTCCTTCGTTCCTCCGTCCCTCCCTCCCTCCCTTCCTCCAGCCCTCTCTTCTCCCTTTTTCCTCCCTCCCTCCCTCCCTCTTAAAAACCAACCGGTGGCACTTTCCACCCACTCACGTGTTAACTTTGCAACCCACTGTGCAGGCTGGCAGCCCCTTCCGAGAACCACTGATAAAGTTTCTGACCCGGCATCCGTCTCAGACGGTGGAGCTCTTTATGATGGAAGCGACCTTGAATGATCCACAGTGGAGCAGGATGTTCATGGTAAGAAGTAGCTTATCACCAAGGCTGTTAAATGGCAGTTTAGCATGGAGACCTTGGGCCAGGGGTGAACTTCAGCAGGTTCTGGAGAACCGGTAGCGGAAATTTTGAGTAGAACCGGCAAATACCACCTCTGGCTGGCCCCAGAGTGAGGTGGGAGTGGAGATTTTGCAGTGTCCTTCCCCTGGAGCGGGGAGGGAATGGGGATTTTGCAGTATCCTTCCCCTGGAGCAGGGAGGGAATGGGGATTTTGCAGTATCCTTCCCCTGGAGTGGGGAGGGAATGGGGATTTTGCAGTATCCTTTACCCTGGAGTGGGGAGGGAATGGAGATTTTGCAGTATCCTTCCCCTGGAGCGGGGAGGGAATGGAGATTTTACAGTATCCTTCCCCTGGAGCGGGGAGGGAATGGAGATTTTACAGTATCCTTCCCNTATTTTTCTACTTGCATTTTTACGTGCTTTCGAACTGTTAGGTTGGCAGAAGCTGGGACAAGTCGCGGGAGCTCACTCCGTTACGCGGCGCTAGGGATTCGAACTGCTGAACTGCCAACCTTTTCGAACACCAAGGGCCCCACAGCCATTGTCGTCATCCTCATCCTCTTCTCCCTTCTAACACTGATGGTGTTACCTAGTTGGGTAATGAAATGTCTGCAAAAAAAATCCCCCATCAAGCTCAGAAAGCATCAAGGACTCCACAATCCACATTCCTCCTCCTCCTCCATCCACTGCTTTCTAGCACTGATGACATTACCTAGCTGGGTCGTGAAACGTCTGCAAGAAATCAACCAAGCTCAGAGAACACCAAGGACCCCCACCACAGTCTTCTCCTCCCTCCTAGCCCTGATGCCATTACCTAGCTGGGTCATAAAAATGTCTGCCAGAAAACAGCCAAGCTCAGACACGGATAAAGATCCCTCCGATTCTTGATGAATTCTCTGATTTTCCTGACTGTCTTAAGAACTCACAGCCCAGCAATTTCCCGCCCTGCTTTTAAACGGCCCTTTTTTACACAATGGCAGGCAAGCCAGAAATATGCCTTTTAAAAAATAAAATTAAATAACATTTGACCTGGTTTACCCACCTCCTTTCTCTCCTTTCTGTGCCCTCCTGCATTTCTAAGACTGCCCACCAGCAGCGCAGAATGGGGAGGGGGGGAGGAGGAATTGCCATCCCTAATAATGGAATGAAATCTTTGGCTTGAAGAGAGAAGAGCAGTGGCGGCTCCGAGTCTCACCTGCCCCAGGAATTCATTATCCAAGTGATCAAAAGCAGAGCCTGCTTTGGCGGGAATAACATCCCGAAAATGCACCAGCTGAGAGTTGAAAAGAGATAGCCACAACAACAGAAAAGGAAAGGAAGAGAGGAGGAGAGGAAAGGGGAGAGAAGGAAGGAAGAGGAAAGGAGAGGAAGGAGGGAAGGGATAGAAAGAGAAGGAGAGAGGGTAGGAGGGGAAAGAGGAAGAGAGGAGGAGGGGAGAGGCAAGGGAAGGAAAGGGAAGGGAGAGGAGGAAGGAAGAGGAAGGAAGAGGAAAGGAGAGGAAGGGATAGAAAGAGAAGGAGAGAGGGTTGGAGGGGAAGAGGATGAGAGGAATGGGGGAGAGGCAAGGGAAGAAGGAAAGGGAAAGGAGAGGAGGAAGGAAGAGGAACTGAGAGGAAGGGATAGAAAGAGAAGGAGAGAGGATAGGAGGGGGAAGAGGAAGAGGAAGAGAGGAGCAGGGGAGAGGCAAGGGAAGAAGGAAGGGGAAGAAGAGGAGGGAAGAAAGAAAGAGGTAAGGGGAGGAGAGAGGAAGGGATAGAAAGAGAAGGAGAGAGGGTAGGAGGGGAAAGAGGAAGAGAGGAGGAGGGGAGAGGCAAAGGAAGAAGGAAAGAGAAAGGAGAGGAGAAAGGAAGAAAGTAGAGAAGGGAGGGAGGGCGAAAAGAAAGGAAAAATAGAGTGGTGATAATACAAAATAGGTGTAAACAAAGCAACTCAGAATGTATATCTTAACCTTTTGTCGGGGGAAAAACAAATGTGTAAACACGATAAAGATAAATAAGAATAATAACTAGGTGAGTGTATACCTGTAACTGAATGTAAGAGAATAAAAATAAAAAATATATATTTAAAAAGCAGACCCTGCTTTTTTTTAAAACAAACTCAATTCCTTGTTTTACCTTGCGACACACACAAACACACACACACACACACACACAAACCGGGCAAGTAGCATCTTGTTAGCCAAGCAGGTGCAAAATTTTTTGCAAATAACCTTTTTTTCCTTACTCTCTCGCCCAAAAAATCCTTGAAGGGGGGTGGGGGGGTGGAGCGGTTGCCTTAAGGCAGAGGCAACTCACGAGGAAAGGGGGGTGTCCCTGGTTTGAAAAGGGTCAAACCACCCCCAATCCCCCGATTTCTCCTCTGGGAGAACCGAAGAGCGGCGGATTCCACCCAGAAGGCAGGGAATATTTTGAGTTTGGCTTCCTCCAGGGGGACGAGGGAGGGGTTGTCAAAATCGCCTCTCCCCCCCTCTTCTTCCCAACCCACCAACACCCCCCCTCTTGCATGCAAAGACCGCCAGCCAGCCGCATCTGCGAACCTGGGCTCGGCTTCACCTTGGCTCGTCGCGCGGCACCCAAACCTTTGCGGGCAAGCCTCTAAACCCGCGGCGTCTCGTGTGAACGCGGCCAGAGTGTGTGCGAGCTTGCCAATCGCGCTTTCCCCGCAGGAAAGAAAGAAAGGGGGGGAGCGCGGGAGGGGGGGTTGAAAGGCGAAAGAAAGCGGGAGAAAGCCAGCAGACGAGAGGTGTGGGGGGGGAAGCGTTCCTAGCCCACCGACCAACCCCCCCACCCCCCAAAAAAAATCTCGCCTTCGGAAGAAACTCTTAGGAATGACCCCAGCCACGATCATTAAGTGGCTAAGGCTCTGAGCTTGTCGGTCAGAAATGTCGGCGGTTCGAATCCCTAGTAGAGGTCTCCTGCGCGAGCAGCGGGTTGGACTAGATGACCTCTGAGGGTCCCTTCCAACTCTGTTCCCGAGGATCATCCCGTGGTCAACGAAGACAAAGAGTGTTCCGGGGCATGTCCCGAGCGCCTTCCCCATTTGGAAAGGGAGGCAACCCTTCCAGATTAGGGCATTGAGGGGTGGAGGGGGGGGCATGCCAAGAACCGACTGCCCCCTCCCTCCTAGCCTGATATACACCACCACTCCCAGCCCGGTGAAGACGCCCTCCGGATTGAGACTCAGCCTCTGCGTCCCACCGACTCCCCCCCCTCCTTAAAAAATATCGTCTTCGTAGGGAACTCGGGCGGGGGGGGGACAAAAGCCACGACCACCCATTGTTTAAAGAGCCAAGAGTGTTCCGGGGCATCTCTAGAGCGCCTTCCCCATTTGGAAGGGGGGGACGGAGCCCTCTTTTCGGGCTGAAACCCCCCCCCCAGCCTTCTAGCACTCCCCTCCCCCATCCCGGGCAAGGTGTCCTCCGGAGCGAGACTCACCCTCCGCGTCCCACCGACACCCCCCCCCCCAAAAAAAATCTGGGCTTCCTAGGGAACTCAACAAAAGCCACAACCACCCATTGTTGAAAAAGCCAAGAGTGTTCCGGGGCATACCTGGAGCGCCTTCCTCATTTGGAAGGGGGGGGGGACACCTCAAAACCGATGGTCCTTTTCGGGCTGAAGCCCCCAGCCTTCCAGCCCCCCTCCCTTCCCGCCCAAGACGCCCTCCGGATTGAGACTCACTCTCCGCGTCCCACCCACCCCCCTTAATAAAATCTCGCCTTCGTAGGGAACTCAGGGGGGGGGATCAAAAGCCACGACCCCCCTTCGTTTAAAGAGCCAAGAGTGTTCCGGGGCATACCTGGAGCGCCTTTGGAAGGGGGGACACCCCCAAAACCGACCCCCCCCAGCCTTCCAGCCCCCCCCCCCCCCCGTTTCCCCATCCCGGCCAAGGTGCCCTCCGGAGCGAGACTCACCCTCGGCGTCC